CCCGAGACCTCAGGTGGGCTTTTAGGGCAGGCAGCGAGCCCCGGGATTTGGGCGCGCGAGCCCGGAAGCTTGGCTTGAGGCCCGGCGCTTTTCTCGGGAAGCAGGGGGGCCTCCCCAGGGAGCCCCGCGCGGGGCCCGTGCAGGACTCACCTGCACCTTGGCCCCTGGGGTCTCTGCAGGGCAGTGCTCGGCAGGCGGCGGAGGCGGTTCGCCCTCGCTTTATTCTGCACGTCAGTTATCCCCAGCTTTGAATGTTTTAAATATGAAGTAGGTCCCCTTGCTCCTTGTTGGCAAATTCTGCGATTCGGAGAACCTCGAAATGAAATGGTTTTGTTCCCCAACGTGTTGGTAGGTATTTTATCCCCAACCGGACGTCAGTTGCCTCCTTAGCGCAGTAGGCAGCGCGTCAGTCTCATAATCTGAAGGTCCTGAGTTCGAACCTCAGAGGGGGCAACACAACATTTTTTTTTTCCCCCCCAGAAACAAGAAAATTGAAGCAATTTAAAAATCTTTGTCCTTTCTCCTTTTCCGTGTGAAGGGCGTGCGCCGTGATTCCCTCTTTCGTAACCCGAGGAAACTGCTTTACTCAGACTGCCCGGGTCACTTGCTTCTACTCCCAACCATGTACTGATGTTCAGTTACAAAATTGTGATTTTTAAACTAAGAATTAAAGACTCCAAAATTCTAACAATTTATTTCATACCAATGGTAAATAGAACTGGGGTTTTTCTTTCTTTTTAAAATGCCATTCAAATATTCTTGGATCATCGTCTTTGATGCAAAATAGGGTAAAGAAACTTACTGATTGAGAGGGAGGAGTGGCCAGAGCTGTGCTGGAGATGTGGATGGTTGGTAAGATTATGTGCAACACATTTTTCTTGATTACAGATTGGCATTATTTGTTACACAGCAACAGATAAAATCTATTTGGATTTCTAAATTTGTACAACACAATCACTTAAGAGAGTCTTATTTAAAATACCAGTTTCCCAGTCTCATGGTTTGGATATTCTAATTAGAGGGTTCAGAGATGGAATCTGCAAATGGAGAGATCTAATGGCCACCCTAGGAGCCTGCCTCTAATCAACTGGACATTGCTGTAGGTCCCTGGGCCCCTGAACACATTCTCCTACCTCCAGTTCCTCCATGTGACTTGCTGGGGAGATGACTTCCCCTCCAGATTCTCTTTGCTTTTTGTGTGATCACTCATGGGTGGCCCACAGGGCCCAGCTAGTAGCAGCAGGGGTTTCAGTATAAAGAACAAGAGCAGAGCAAATCTTCCAACTTCCCAGGTGAGCTCTCTAAACACCCAAAGAGCCATTTCCTCATGCTTTATTTCTCCCTTTCTCAGGGAGGAACTTACTAGGGAAGTGAAATACTCATGAATGATCTTGACATTCCTGTGCCCCTATGTGCTAGGGCCCAGGTATCTTGCTCTCAATACCCCCCCAGCCCCCTTCCCCCCTGGTCCCGGAACACAGTTACTGTCCAGCCTTCAAATTCATTCTGTGGCCTAATTTGTGTTTTCAAATGATCTCTTGCCTTGCAACGACCTGTCCCGTAGTGCTGTACTTCTGCCCCGATTCAACTCCCCGGTGACTCAACTCATGGGTGACTCTCCATAGCTGTGAGGGTGGTGACTTGCCTG